CTCTATTTTCTTCTGGTGGTCCACTTCAGTGGGAAAACAAGGGGAAGTCTTTAATGACTGGGAATCCTGGAAACCAGATACTGCTTCACAGAAGTCACAAACCTCGTAATGTCAGCTGTTGGAGTGAGTCAGATAGCCTGGTCCCATCCTTACAAAGTCACTTACTGGCTATAGGGTGCTGGGTAAGTTCATTAGCCTGTCAGGGCTCCTCGGATCTCCATGCTCCAGATGGACTTCACCCATAGCTCTAGTCCTCATACTCCTGTTCCCAGGGTTCCCTACTCTTTACCATGAATGCTTCCTATTGTTGTCTGCTACCTTAATCAGAACAATGGCTCTGGAAAATAGTGTAGGAAGAAGGCCTAGCTAAAATTGCAACCATCTGGGTGTATACCTGCATGATAAATACATGATAGTAGTGTTATGCACACATATAAGCCACTTCATCAAGATATAGGTGCAAGCATATGAGTGGCACAGGTGGTGTCAAAAATAAGGTGGGCTTCAAGGCCTCATGGTACCATGGATGTGTTCCTGGATTCTGGCCTTGAGATGTTAACCTAGCATTCATCTCACTTCTGAAAGGGCACAGCAGCAGCCTATTTAAAATTAAACAAGTTTCATTCTCTTTTGAATAGATTTAAGTGCAGAAGAAATTAATCAATAATACAAATTCCTATAAATACACATTTCCCTCAGTTTCATTATTATTATCATACAATTGAGTGGTGCATTGTTAAATTTGATGAGCCTATATTGATATATAATTATTAACTAAATGCAGTTTACTTTCATTCTTTTTTATAAATTCTATGAATTTTGCCAATTTTATAGTGATGTGTTTTCACTGTAATAGCATCATACAGTGTAGTTTATTTTCCCTTTAAATATCACCTGTTCTCTATTCATTCACTACACCCATTCAGCTCAATGTTAGAAATTTTGTTTATCTAAAATGTTCACCAAACACCTTATGTGAATGGAAGATGATTGGATCACAGGGCACTATACTCATCATGAAACAAATCCATTAATAATTTCAACAGCTAAATGTGTGGTTAGTATGCGATGTCTGGTAGAAAGGGACTCCTAGTGAGGATATTACATAGAAGAGTATATATTCTCTGGCTCCTCCCTTCACTCTCTACTTCTTAGCTGCTGTGACATGAAAAGCTTCCTTTCCCTAGGCCCTGCTACCATGTGTTTCTGCCTTGGAACCTATCAAACATGGTCTGATTGCACGAAAATTGTGAGCTAAGTAAATCTATCTTTAAATTGTGACTGATGGCTACTTTACTTCAATGACAGGTAAGTAACTAATATACCTGGAAGAAGTTGATCCTTCTTTTTATCCACAATTTTACATTTTTCAAAATGAAATATAACTTAAATGGTCCAATATGTGTTCTTTTTAGCTTATCCTTTTTCATTTATCAATACACATTTAGGGTTCCTTCAGGTCTTCCCATGTTTTGGTAGTTTATTTTTTTCATGAACGTAACATTGTATACACTTTGGTTTGTTGATCTGTTCACTTATTGAAAGAACTTTAAATTACTTGTGAGTTTTAGAAATTATGTATGCTGCTATAAACATTCATATGAAAGTTTTGTGTCGACATATTTTAAGTCATTTGAGAAGATACAAAGAAGCATAAGTGATGCAGTATATGACAAATGTATATTTAATTTTGTAAGAAAATTCCAAGCTGCTTCCAAAGTGGCTACACTATTTTGCATTTTCACAATAATGAATCTGAGTTTATGCTGATCCAAATTCTTGAGCATTTGGTGTTGTCAGGGCTTTGTAGTTTATCCATTTTAATGGGTGTATAACACAGTATGGTTTAACAGGCACCCTTTTAGTTAATAACGATTACAAACATATTCTCATGTATTTTTTTAACAATAGTATGAGTTCTTTGATTAGATATCTATTCGGATCTTTTGACAAATTTAAAAGTGGATTTTTTTGTTTACTTATGGAGTTTTAACAATTCATTGGCTATATTGGATGTAAGAACTTCATTATGTATGCATTTGGCAAAGATTACTTTTCGTGATTGTGGCCTGTTTTCATTCTCTTAGTGTCTTTTCAAAAGAAGTTGTAAAGTGTGTTCTGTTTTATTTTTTATTGATTTTGTTTTATTTGGATTTGAAGAGTGAAAACAGAAGCAAAAACAAATAGAAAACATGACAGAAATGGTGTAACATATGATACATATATTGAAGATTTTCAAAAGAGGGATGGCTAATTAATGATGGTTATTATTATTATTATTATTTTTGTTGTTGTTATTTTTGTTGTCTTATTATTTTCTTTTTGTGTGGAAACAGAGATTAAACTTAGGCCCTTGTGCTTGCCAGGCACAAGCACTTATTCTACTGAGCCATCTCCCCAGCCCTGACTTTTTTCATTGTAATGAGAAAAATGATAAAATAACAATGAAACAGTTTCAAGACAGGTTAGTATGACAGTTGCAATAATTAATACATTGCATATTATTGTCTTCCTAGTAGTTATTCAGAGGACAAGATGGAGACATGACATTTTATGTAAACAATATTAGTACAAACATTTCCTGTTAATGAAGTAAGAGAAAGTAGCTGTATATCTATTTTAAATCTCTTGTTTATATATATATATATATATATATATATATATATATATATATTTCTTTCACACACATCGACAAAAAAGAGAAGATCCTTTATTTATAACCCCTTTTTTGTTTGCTTTTGTGAGAGATGAGTATTCCATTGCTTTTGGAGAAGCCTTTAAAGAACTTTTTCATATTGATGACAGTCCAAAGATTGTAGGTGGTTGAATTCAGCGAAATAACCCAATACAACCCAAATAAGTCCATAATACTGCTAGGTTATCAGTACAACTAGAAATTCTCTGAAAGTGTTGACATGACCAATTTACAGCTCAGCATATTAATATAGCATTACTTTATGCCTCATGGTTATAATTTTCTGCTGGATGGTTAAGACCAATTTAAAGCAAGACTTATGTAACTCAAAATGTAGCTTTTGTCATATGACAAGATCAGTCAACTAGCCTCAGGATTTAACCCGGAACCATGTATGGCACCTGTGGATCTTTTCTCAGTGTCAGCCAACTGGATGAGTCATGGCCATTTCTTGACTAATTTGCTCTCTGTGAAAGCCTGGGAGAATTTTTTTTTCTCTCTAGGTGTTTCTCCTTAAGCACACTATATATTGTCATTTACATTCCTCTGTGACCCCATGTTCTCCTTAATCAGAATATTTGGGACACCACTTATTTACAGTATATCAGAGCAGAGGTTCCCTTATGTCCGGAATCCTCATCGACCTTGAAGGGCCAGGGCCAAACATTGGCTATTCATGTAGCCCCTCTATTTCTCTAATTTTTGGTCTTTAAGTTTTAGTTGTTAAGCATCCAGAAGAGAAGCTTAATAATATTATTGCCCTGTAATAGAGGGATTTGGACTTAACAACACTAACTCTCTGTATATCAAACACTTTAGACATAATCTGGAGCTGCAATTTTCAAACAACCATAGATATTCTAAACTTTGTATACCTCCAGTGCAGAATGTGTAAAAAAGCAGTTACACATTTTTACAAAGAAATTGAGAAATTAAACCATATACAAAACTTTAGTAGGACAGTCCAATGTCTTTTTTTGTTTCTTGTTTTCTGTTACTGTATTTTTTACAAACATTTACTTAAAGAGATTATAGCAATAATCAACATTACATTAGAAGCATTATGCATTTAGAAGACCAAAATGATGGGTATTTCAAGTATGGTTTTAGTATTACACATTGCTAACATCAGTGTATTTGCTTAATTCTCATATATCAGCATATGTAGTTAGTCAGGGTGGGAATTCTACTCATTAACTGCTATTTTAAAGAACTTCATGGAGATTCTTAGGACTGTTGTCTTAACCATCTTCTTTATATAAATTTATAGTCTTTCCCATGTCATATTTCATAGCTTTTTTCTTAGATCCCTCTGAACTGTTCAATGCTTAATTTCTTACTTTCCACTTAACTGTGTTATACCATTAGATTTTCATTTCTTATTTACAGTTCTCACGCTAGGGAGACAATGTGATATTTGCATATATGGGTCTGGTGTATTTCACTTATAAATATATCTTCAAGTTGTATCCATTTATATATGAAGGCATTGTGTTTATTTTTCTTTATAGCTGAGAAATAGTGCATTGTATAAAAATACCACATCTTTTTCATCTATTCCTCACAAGATGGGTATTTTGGTCATTTCCAGAATTTGGCTATCACAAATTGTGCTGCTATAAACATAGGTGCACCTATAGCACTATGATATGAGTTTTTCAGTACTTTTGGGGCAATTCTCAAAAGGGGTATAGCAGGAGTGAATGGGATTTCCAGTCGTAGGTTTTTGAGGAGGTTCCACACTGATTTCCATAATGTTTACACCAGTCTACATTCCCACAAGCAGTGGAAACGAATTCCTTTTTTAACTATAGCCACTCCAAAATTTGTTGTTGGTTGATTTCTTTATGATAGCCATTCTTTCTGGGGTTAGATGATATCTCAGTGTTGTTTTAATTATCTTTTGATGAATAGCTAGTGATGTGAAGCATTTTTTCACGTATTTATTTGCTTCTTGGATTTCTTCCTCTGAGAAGTATGTATTCATCTCAGGTACCCACTTTTGGATCGGGTCTTTTTTTTAAATTTAATTTGTTTATTTGTTTTTTTTTTTTTTTTGGTGGAACCGGGGATTGAACTCAGGCCCTTGCGCTTGCCAGAAAAGCGCTTATTCTACTGAGCCTTCTCCCTCATTAAATTTTGGAACCCTAATGTCTTTTAGTTCTGTATGAATTCTAGGTAAAAAAAAAAACCTTTGACTGAGTGCTTATTAGTTAATAAATTTTTCCAACTTTATGGGTTGTCTTTTCACTTTGTTGGTAATTTCTTTTGATGAGCAAAAACTTCTCAATAAGGACATGTATGAGTGCTTGCTTTGGCAGCACATATACTAAAATTAGAATGATACAGAGATTAGCATGGCCCCTGTGCAAGGATTACATGTAAATTAGTGAGGCATTACATATTTTAATAAATAATAAATAAATAACAAGACTGGGCATTGTGACACACACTTGTAATCTCAGCTCTTGAGAGGCTGGAAAGAGGAGAATCGCTATGAGTCCAACCTAGTAATGAGACCCTGATCACCCTGTAGGCATTTATCTACAATAAAAAAAATACTGCTGTCTAAAAAGATCATAGAATTCACAGGTGAAAGGCTTATTATAAACATTTTTAATCAACTTGATACTGAATTTGTAAAAACAATGAAAGCAATGTAAAAGGTATTAGTCTTTGTGCTACAAACAAATCATTAGTTTCAAAAAATTTTTTTAAAAAACATGTCCGAGGGGGCCTGGCCCTAGCTCAGTCTTTAAGTGGCTGCTTCCACAAAGCTGACAGCCTCAGGTTCCTGGAGTTCGAACCTCACAACTCTCCCGCTGGCCAAAAGTGACCTGAAGGCATTCGAGGAAGGAAAAAAA